CATAGTTTTTTGTTGATTTTGATTTTCACTTTCTTATAGTTATTCATTTTCCTGGTCCCTTATTTAAGTTTTCTAGATTCCTGCTATGAGTGAGACCATCCGGTATTTTTCTTTTTCTTTCTGGCTTATTTCGCTGAGCATGATCCCTTCCAGTGCCATCCATGTTGCTGCAAATTGCATGTGTTTATCTTTTTTGAATGCTGAGTAATATTCCATGGTATATATGTACCACATCTTCTTGATCCAGTCATCTATTTTTGGGCATTTGGGTTGTTTCCAAAGCTTAGCTATTGTAAATAGTGCTGCTATAAACATAGGGGTATCTACAAAATGAGTATTTTAACTGCTTTCTCAAGTCAAAATTGAATTTTGACATAGAAAAGTTTTCAATTCTGAATGGATTCTCCTCTATAAACAACTGGTAGCAGATACCTGCAGTCTGGGGGGATAGTTCCTACGGCCTTGTCGAGTCTCTGTCCTGAGGTTGTCCCCATGGCGTCCCAGCCTCTCACTCCATGGTCGGGGATTGTGGGGACGCCATGAGCACTCACAGGATGTTCCACCCCGTCCTGCGCCACCTCATGGACAGAGCAGGGCCTCAGGGCTAGGCTATTTGAGCTCTGGAGCTGGTGTCCGCATGTTGGACACTTTCCAGATTCCAGCCCTCAGGGACCTTCCTCCAGAGGGACAAGTGCCCTCTTTGAGTTGACTGGCTTAATGGGCATCATACTGTACCACATCTCAGTGAGCAATTACTGCACTGAGGGTGCCAGAGACAATTTCATTAGTTGTTTACACCTGTGTGGACAGGACTGCGGCTCCTCCTCCTCCAGGATCCATCATCCTCCACTGACCAGTCACAGGGGACCCGGGTGTAGGCCTCTTGATGAGCCAAGTCCAAAGGGTGCTGGAAAGTCACTGTCACACACTACCTGAGAGAATGGTGTGAGGGGGATAGAGAAATGTGGAGGCAGGAGGGGGAGGGAGAGGAGGAAGACCAAGGAAAATGTGAATTTGTTCATGTTACCAAATATTTTTATTTAAATGCCATTTTATTCTCAGCACCTATAAATGTGATACAACCTGAATGCTTGTATTTAACTAAATCTTGTGATTCTCTTACAATTCGGGTGAGTCCTGAAGGGGTGCTGTCTTTGACATGTCCACTTCCTGGTCTGTGTCTTGGGCTCTGAAACAGCAGTGGGGGGACCCTCTCCCACTGTGTGTGCTCATACCCACCAGGGCAGGGTGCACAGACAACGGGCTATTTGGGGACGGGGCAGTCCTGGGCCCCATACACTGTCCTGTCCCATGCCCAGTGAACACCAGGGCCAGCCTACAGCTGCTTCAGCAAGATGGTGCCCGCCACAGGGGGAGGCTGAGCTGGGGAGGCTGAGGGGAGGGAGACCCAGCCCGGGGCTGTGCTGGGCTCACAAGCGCTGCTCCAAGGTCCCGCAGCAGCCCGGCTCCTGGCCCTCAAAGTCCCTCCAACCCCGTTGAGGACCTGAGGGCCACAGGAGAAACCCGTGTTTCCAGACATGAGGGGCCACACTCTGCCCTGTGTGTGCCAGCGGGGGTCAGCCTGGGCCCCGTTCAGTCAGCTCAGGCTTTAGCACCTGCCCCAGAGCCCGCGGCCACCTGCCCCCGCCGGCCAGCGGCTGCCTGTGCCAGGCGCCAGGCGTCTCGCCCCGGCGGTGCCCCCAGAAGCGTGAGCTGCACTAGGCACACGGGCAGCACTGGCCAGTAGTGTGGTCACCACTGGTCACCGCGAGGCCGGGCAGCTCGGGTCAGGGGTCACTCGTGCGAGGTCCCCCCTGGCCCCCAGATGCGGCATCAGAGCCAGAGTGTCCACAGCTCTGGGGAGTCCGGACAGCACCCACACTCTGAGGCGCGGGCCGGGACTCGGGCCGCCTCAGCCAGCGGGGACGCAGAATGGACCTGAGGCCGCATCTGGACGGGCTTCGGCTTCTCTGCCCGCCCCTGCGGCGGCCTCGGTTGCCTCTTCCCCTCAGCCTCCGTGTCCCCTTTCCCTGACCCCGGGCGCGCAGTAACCCCTCTCTCCTCAGTGGCCGGCCATGCTCTTCTTGCACGCGCATGCGCAGCTCCCTCCTCAGGCCACGGCCCTCCTGGGTGGACCCCCTCAGCCATGGGCAGCTACTCTTGGGCTGCCCCGCCCACAAGCCCCATGGGACCCCGTTTCAACCCTACATCTGATTGGGCCAGGGCCTGTTCGCCCCGGCGCCTGATTGGTCCACTCCCGACCCGGAAGTGCGGTTCTCCATAAAAGGACCCTGAGGACCCAGGGGCAGAGCAGCTCCCAGTGGAGCCCAGGACAGGCTGCGCCCCCACCACGTGGGTGGCTCCAGGAGCCGGGGTCAAAGGTGCCGGACGCCCACTGACACCCCGGGTCCAGCCCGACCCGTTTGCGCCTAGGCCCAGCTCAGAGCTGCCTCAGCCAGTCCTGCTGCCCAGAGACCCCGGTCCCGCCCCTCTCTCCCTCGGGGAGTGTCCACGGCCTCGCCCCCTCTCCGTAGGGTGAGTGTCCACCTGCTCCCGCCCTTACCCCTCCACCTGGTGACCAGGGCCCAGGACCTGACCCCGGCACCAGGACCAGGCTGGCTGCGGCCCCAAGGCCACTGTCACTCGCTGCCCTCATCCGTCCACTTGCGCGGAGCCGCCCAGGGCTCAAGGCCCACTCAGGCTCCATGTCTGGCTGAGTCAGAGCTGCCGCGTGTCCACCACGTCCGGAACCATCGGGCCCTTTTGTTCCCAGAACCGCCGCCTCAGTGGGGGGAGGGCAGGGCAGCGGGTCCCCCCGCCTGCGGTTCCACTCGTCAGTTGTGGCTGTTGCGCCTCAGAGACTTTTTATGTAGCAATGTACTTCCTGGATCATGGACTGGACCAATCAGGTGAAAGCCATGAGCTGATTGGTGCTCGATGGTCCAATCAGACTTTTGCTACCAGGACCCGCCTCTCACCAAAGGTGAGTCTTGGCTGTTGCTCCTCAGAGCCCTTTCACGTGAAGTGCACTTCCTGGGTCCTGGAATGGACTAATCAGTGCTATGGGCTTATGGGTAAATGGGCCAATCAGCCACAGGATTGAAAAGTGGTCCAATCAGACTTGTGGGCGGGGCAGCCTGAGAGACTATAAGTCAGGGTCAGCGGCTGCTGAGGTGGAGACACCGCCAGCAGGGGAGAGAGAAGGGGGAGTGGCCTGACACCAGCCTCTGAAGAAAAGAAGCTGGTTCCAGCCTCCCGAGAACATCAGCATCGGCACATAGCCCCCAGGAGGGGGAGAAGCTGAAGGACTTGACCACAGACGGGCCTCGCCTGTCTCTGACGGTGCCCGAAAGGGGCCCCAGAGGCCTGGGCCTGGGTCTGTGGTGCCGCAGCTCACGTGGAGACCCGGCCCCCGCGGACCGGGCGAGACCGTCACCGCCGGCCAGTGCCCTGCGGCCCTCCCGGTGACGGTGGTGACCACCACTGACGCTGTCGGGGTGAGCAGCCGCCGGGTGTGGCTCGTGCGCTCTCCGTTTCCCTGTTTGGGAGACAAACTCCGTGCTGGCGTCCCGGCCCTGAGTCGCCACGGGGTGCGCGGGGGAGCCCCACGGACGGTGACTGTCCCCTCGCCCAGCACTGCCCTTTGGGAGGCTCCAGCCCGCGGGCCCTGCTGTAAGGTGCTTGTTGCTCCAGCTCTTGCTTTTGGGTTTTGGCCTCTTGGGGCTTTCCGGTGGTTCTCAGGCCCCGGAGCCCGGCAGGGGGCAGCTGCTCCGGCCTCCATCCAGCCTCCTGCCCGTGGCCCTTTTGTAGCCCTCTCTGCCCGTGTCCCCCTCAGGGAGGCTCGGGGTGGCCCCTGCACAGGAGGGCTCATCACTGGACACTGTAGCAGATGTTTGAAAAGGTCAGATACCAAAGAGAGAATCACTCAGGCACTGCGTGTTTCAGCAAATTAATGAGTATTTGTTGGTATTCCAAAGGAAATGAAGACACATACCAGAAATAGAATGTAAACCCCATAGCCACAACGGCGTGTGCTCTGAGTACATATATGAATGGTGCATCACGTGTCAGCATTAGGTTTTCATAAATGATGCCGGGGCATTCTCATCCATCTGGAAAGAGAGGCACAGACTTTTACAAAAATTCATTCACCAGCAGAGCGCTCTCCAGTAGCATGACTGTGAACTAAGAATGACATAAAGTAAGACAAAAAAGACATTTTCAAAAATTTACAAAAAAGCTTATATGGCCTTTGTCTAGAAAACGGAGACATTCTGCCAAGAGGAAGTTTCACGGACACGATTGGGACTGCTTCCTGCATGCTCAAGAACGGGACTGCAGAGCGAGGGTGAGGGACCTGCTCTGATGGGCAGTCTCAGAACCTGCAGCAATAGGAGATGGGGATGGAGACAAGGAGACACCCCTCACCCAGGACAACAGCCATGTCAAAGGGACTCACAACATTAGAGGGTGTGGAGAAAGGGCCCTGTCGCACTGTTTGGGGGACAGGGACAGAGAAACTGTGCAGAGCAACCACCTTGGCTTAAATAATCCAGGATGGATTCCAGCAGCAGGTCACACATGGGCATGGGCAGAGCAGGACTCTCCGCAAACCCACGGCTCTGTGATCATACATAGCGGTGTCATCCACAGCAGCCCCACTCAGCCCATGGGACAAGGACCAGATGGCACATCCACACCCGGGTGGGTATAGACAGGGCGAGGACAGAGTCCCATGAAAGGAGAGGATTTGAGAAATACATGCAGCAAAGCAAGTCAGAATGTGGACATAAACACTGGGCAGCAGAGAACAGTCATTTCAGCAGGGAAACCTTGAAAAGTCTTGGGGAACAACCACCTGAGGGCTCTGAGAAGGTGGGGATGGGCCTGGGGACAAAGAAGGGGCTGATATTCTGGTGACACAACCACCTGTGAGGGTGGCTGGAGGACAGGGGTGTGCACATGTAGACATCTCTGGCTGAGGAAAAGAAGGGCGAGCTTTATTTGCTAAAATAATGGCCCTTCATCAGTCTCCCCACAGCTGACTTCATGGCTTGGTTCCTTAGACTGTATATGACAGGATTAAAGGTGGGGGGCACCATCGTATAGAACATAGAAATGACCAGGTCAGACATGGATGGAGTGTCCAAAGTCGGCTTCAGATAAGCAAAGCATCCAGTGGAGAGAAACAGCACCACAACCAGCAGGTGGGGAAGGCACGTAGAGTAGGCCTTGGCCTTACCTTCTGTGGATGGAATCTTCTTGACAGCAGAGAAGATGTGGACATAGGATATGACAATGAAAGTAAAACAGGACATATTCAACATCACACTAATGATGATAGGTAGAATTTTTCTTACTAAATTTCCGGAGCAGGAAATGGCCAATAACTGAGGGATGTCACAAAAGAACTGATGGACCACGTTGGACCCACAGAAGGACAAGGAGAAGGTACCAGCTGTGAGCATCACAGAGATGACACCCCCACCCAGCCAGGACACAGCTGTCAGCTGCACACACCTGTCCCTGCTCATGATGACGTCATAGTGCAGAGGGTGGCAGATGGCAGCATAGCGGTCAAGGCTCATCGATGTGAGTAGGTAAAACTCTGTACTTGCTGATATAACCATCATGAAGACCTGGACAACACAGCCCGGGAATGAGATAGAGCTGCTGTGCCTCAGAGAGTTGGCAATGGACTTGGGGACCGTGGCTGAGATGAGGCAGAGGTCTGTGAATGACAGACCCCTCAGGAAGAAGTACATGGGCGTGTGGAGGAGCCGGTCCAGGGTGGTGATGAGGACAATGAGCCCATTCCCCAGCAGGGCGCACAGGTAGACCAGGGAGAAGAGCAGCGGGTGCAAGAAGTCCATGGTCCCCTGGGTGGGGAACCCCAGGAGCATGAATTCTGTCACGGCCGTGAGATTGGTCACCCCTGGAGACATCGTCTACATAAAAATATTGAGCCAAATATAACACAAGTGAAGCCTTCCACTCTTATAAAGACAGACAGTCACAGGTGTGTTCCAGAGGTCACTCTCAGGCTACGGATTGGAGGAGCTCTGTGTCTTTCACTCTCTTTTGAGCCTTTTGCATTCAGCTCCAGCAACCTGCCTTTATTACTCAGGATCTGGGATCGGGAATGAGGGACATTTCAGCTGATCGTAGGATTCTGCTCTCGTTGATCTCATAGCCGACTGACAGGCCCTCCCGACTGCTCCAGTCCCCCTCTCCTGCCTCCTGCCCAGGCCCCAGCGTCTCCGCCCAGCACACCTCCCAGAGGTTGTCCAGGGCACAGTCCCAGAGGACACGTGACCATGCACAGCCCCTCCCCACCCTAGAAAGCCTGTCCATGCTCCTCCAGCACAGCCCTGGTCTGAGGAGGCCCCATAGTGACGGGTGTGCGGGAGATGGGGTGTGCAGGTCCCTGTTTTCCTGCTCCCCAGGACCCAACACTGTCCTGGAACTGAATGATCTGGGCTCAGAGTCCCCGTGTGGCATGTCCTGATGCCTCCTCTGTCAGATTCCTGCCCCTGTGGCCTCACTGCTGACTCCCAGTCCATCTCCTCGTCTCCTCATCTCCCTGCACCTGACTCCCCCACATCTGAGGACTCAGAGACCACGTGTCCTCTAGACTCTCCTCCTGGGTCACACCCACACGTCCCTCCTGCAGGATGGGCTCGTCCACCCCTGGGTCCCTCCCCGGCCCCTCTGTCCCCTTCAGACTCATGCTCATCTATGCAGGGAGGAGGCTGCTCCGGGGTTGAGCCAGACAGTCTGTGCATGTGGCTGTCCCTGCCGGTCACAGGGACCCAGGTCCCCCGTGTGCAGATTTGTTCCTCACCCCAGGCCCGTGTGTGAGTGGGGAGGTCTGGACACGGGGCAGCCCTGCCCACTTTCCTCCCCCTCCCCAATCTCATCCTCTCCCCTCTCTGTGGGGTGTGGAGGGAGCAGGCCCTGGTGAGGTCAGGAATTTTAGGAGAATGTGGTGATATATATAATTATTGTATATTAGAGGAACAATTTTTGCTATTTTAATGGAAACAAGAAAATAAATGCCGAACCATCTGCTTTGGGCCTATGTCAGAACCTCTTCAGTGACTTAAAATAATATTTATATTGATAAAATTATATTTTATATAGCTGTGTTGCTTTGTGCAGTTAATGTTCACATCCATAATAGATTTCTACACATATCTATCACTTCAGTGTGAAGGAAAAAAAAAGATCAATATTTATCGCCATAAAAGTTTATGAATTTCTGGGCCTCTCCTGGTGGCGCAGGTGGTTGAGCACAGCACTATGAAGCTGTCCATAGCCTCTGCAGCGGGAGGGTCCCACATGGTGAGCAGACCTCTCCTGTCTCACCCACTGTGCCCCTCAGCAGTGTACTTCATCACTCTATTCTGCTCTATCCCCCGGTCTGTCTCTGGTGAGTCCTCTCACCCTCCTGCGCCTCTGGCCTGTACCCTGGTTCTTGTGTAAATGGATAAATCTTTAACAAAAAAATGTATGAATTGCTATCTGACTCATGAGTGTGTCATATTTTAGGGATGAATATATGTAGCTTTCCCTTTTTAGACTACTAGTGTGAATTATAATTTCTTCTTAAGTTTCTTCACTGCTTACTAAATAGCTGTCTTACATGTGATTTATTTAACCTTTAATACACTTTCAACTCAATGTTCTAAATGCTGAAATATCATGGTTAGGAACAATAATTATCAGATATACCATAAATCAAAATGTTATATGATCACAGATATATTAAAAACCATAAGCTGCAGAACTCCTTTAATTGCAGAAAAATTAAAAAAAAATATTTTCTCTCTTTGAAACTCATCCCAGAATACATGGCATTGTGAAATTGAACTGTGTAGTTTTAATTTTCGCTTTCAGTTATAAGATGAATATTTTAACTACTGTTATTTTGAAATGCAGAATGCATTTTGAAGTGATACTATGTTGTAAAGCACATTACCTCAAAAGAGAAAAAATAAAATTCCTTTTTGTAGGACAACAAAATAAGGTCAGTTGTTCATATTGAATTGCTAACACTTTGAAATGCAGGTAAGTGAAACATATAGATATAAAGTGAATATAAAACATTTAATTATAAGGGGAACTTCTCCACCTTATTTGACCAACACATCCAGTCTGGCGTGACACACCTGCAGGCCCAGAAGTTGCTTCCCACAAAACTCGCCCTCACGGAGACAGGAGGAAACACAAACCTCTCTCGAAGGCCCGGTCACCCGCTGCCCTCTGGTGTGCTGGCCTCTGACATCTGGGGTCCAGGCCTCCGGCTCACTGACTCCAAGATGGGCGGCAGGCCTCGCTATCTCTGTCTCCCGTGCCCCCGGGCTCTGACATTTCCACGCCCCTCCTCAGGGACCTCACCAAGGGGCCCGGGTGTCCTCATCCCCGTGGACTTCTCAGTGGTGGCCCCAGTAATGAGCCTCCTGAGGCAATGGTGCCATCAGGGGGTCCCGGGAGACTTTGCGAGCAGGACCTGGTCCTCCCTCAGCCCCATCACCTCCCCTGACTGCCTCGGGGACCAGATGTGGCCCCGTCAGAGTCACAGAAAAGGCCCGTCCACAGGGAGCTGGAAAGTCACCTCCACCCCCTGTGCGCCCTCCTGTGGCCTGGCAGGTGGGGGGCAGGAGGAGGGATAGACAGGAAGGTAGGAGCATGGGGAAGAATGCTGGGGAGAGACAGAAGGGGCAGCAGAACCGGAGGGCAGCAGGATGGAGCCGATGCCTGGGACCAGGAATGTTCCTGTCACTATAGAAACCCTGTGCTCACCCCCAAGCCCCACCCGCGCCTGAGCTGAGCTGTGCCTGGCGGGTGTGTCTCCCCGGGGTTGCTGTCACTGGGCTGTCTCTGGGCTGGTGTCACATCGGGTCCTGCGTGCATCTGGACGGGACTTATTTGTGGTTCCCACCAGGGGACACGCCCAGGAGCTGTCCAGACACTGGAGATACTTGTTGGCCTGGGTGGGGACAGGCCCTGGGGGTGGTGTCGTGACCATTGGCACCACGTCCTGTGTGGTCGCCAAGTGACGGTGGATGTAAGAAAGGACCTTGTCAGGGGTGGCTTCTGAACCCCAGTGACCTCTCAGCCACAGTGACCCCTGCAGCCCCAACCTCTGAACCCCAGTGACCCCTGCATTCCAATGACCCATGGATTCTGGTGACCCATGGGCCCCAGTGGCCCCAGAACAGCCCAATCAGATTCTCCTATCCTCCCCCAGCTATCATCACCAAGGTCCCCTTGACAGGGTGAGGTGACCAGACCAAGGCGGGTCAACACAAAAGCCAGCCCAGCACTCTGAGCACAGAGCATGCACCCCCAGCCCTGCCCCATCACCCCCCTTCTCCAGACATGTCCTCTGGGATGCCCCTGGGGGCATGCCCATGGTTTCTCAGTTGAGGGTGGCCCCAAGACGGGTCTCAGCCCCCCAGGGCACCCTTGCATCACGGGTGCCCCCAGATGCCCCGAGGAGTCCAGGGAGACCTGGGGCGCACCGGGGGCGCTGAGGACGCTACCTGTTCGCTTAAGGAGCCCTGGGCCTCATTGAGGCAGTTTGGAAAGGGTGGGGCTCCGCACCCCGCTGTCCCCAGTGCCGCCTCCCCTGTGCTCCCTTCGCGCCGGCGGGGCTGGCCATGCCCCAGGATGGGAGGCAACCCCGATCACTTCAGGGGGTGTCCACAGACACCGGGGAGGGATCTGGACGCGGAGGTGAGAACTCGCAGGAGACCAGCGGTGGCCGCGGCAGCCGAGGGCCCGGGATGGGCCGCCCCCGCGTGACCGCTGGACTCGCTGCCTTGGTGGCCGCGCCAGCCCCTCGGGGTTCCTCCCAGTTTTATTGATTCTTTAAAAGAAGTAACATTCAGCAATTCCTTCTCAGTTTGTTGCCTTTTCATGAACTGCTGGTGTTTCCCTCGCGCTGCTGCCGGCTCCCTCCACTCTGCCTGCCCAGCTGACCGACCCCAGGAGCCTTGGTGCGCCCCCACCCCGCTGGCTCCGGGAGCAGCTGCTGCTCTCGCGGGCGTCCGTGCTTCCAGGCGCGCGGAGATTCTCCCTCTGACCCGTGAATTAATTCGGTTTTCTGCACAAGGGCAGCAGGACAGGCTTGGACACTAACCAAGGGTTTCATCAGCTGAACACAGTTCAGAGAAAATTCCTTTTGTAAAACTTGATTTCAAGATACATTTCCTCCCGGCTTCTCCTGACCCCGGTCCCTGGCCGCAGACGCTCGGGTTGGGCCCAGGGCCCCGGGTGGGTGGACGTGGCCTGGCCTGTCTGGGGGCTCCCGAGGCTCAGGTGGAGGCCGCGTCCCCGCAGCGCCCGCCGGTGAGCGTGGCCAGTAGGAGCAGGTGGCCCGCGTGCAGCCTCTCCTCCTGGCCCGGCCCGTCCTGCGGGTGACACCCCGTTCTGCCAGGGGCCACAGCAACTTTTCACAAACGTGTTTGGGCTCAAGGGGCTTTCCTGGGCCTCCCTCTGGGCCCAGAGGGCCGCACCTGGCAGCCTGGCCGCTGAGCTCGACAGCGGCTTCATCATTATCTTTCCCCACCAAGTCAGTAATTACCTTTCCCCGCAAACAACGTCTCTTTCCTCCAGCAAGTTCCCCCTTCCTCGACGGCAGATCCCCCGCAAGTGCAGGCTCTTTGCAGCGCCCCCGCCAGCCCCGCACTGTGGCTGGTGACAGCCACACGATCCCTGGAGCCTCCTGGAGCCGGCAGGGCCGCTGCTGGCCGGGAAGGCGCGTCAGGTGGCAGCTCCCGCTGAGACCCGCGGTCGCCCCACGCTGCCCCTGCTTGGCCAGGGGCAAGAGCGCACTGCCAAGAGCGACAAGCTTCATGCTTCTCCTGACTCCCAGGTCCGCTGCGTGGCCAGTGAGCAGCGAGTTGTTCGCCACTTGGGACGCCCTGACTAGCCGGGT